TGCAAAAATGCTGCTGCCGCCTTAGCGCCGCGTGCGCTCGTCGTAAAAGATTGCCAAGAGCTTCACGCATGGAAGGCGGGCCCTTTTCAAAATGTGGTTATCGCCTTAGCGCCGCGCAAATTAACTAGTCGCACAAAAATAGCAAGAGCTTGGATGGAGGGCGGGCCGTTTTCAAAATGTGGCTCTCGCCTCAGCACCGCGTACATTCGTGTTAAAAACTTGCAAGTGCTTCACGCATGGAGGGCGGTGACTTTGCAAAATGTGGCTATCGCCTCAGCGCCGCGTACATTCGTCTTAAAACCTTGCAGGAGTTTCACGCTGGGAGGGCAGCTCCTTTTCAAACGTGGCTCTCGCCTTAGCGCCGCGCACCCTCGCATCAGTAGTTTACGAAATGTTTAAAGATTTTACGGCTGGCATCCCAGAAATACTGTTCTGGCAAGATGAAGGACTGCCAGGGCGCAACAGTTACGTTGATTCGCGGTGTTGAGATCCCAGGAACGGTTTTACGGCACGATTCAGGCTCGTCAAGACGCAACAGCAACGGTGATTCGCGGCGCTGAAGTCTCAGGAATGGTGTTCTGGCACAGTTCCAGAATTTCAAACGGTTGCCTTCCAACGAGATACTTCCCTCATTGAGAATGAACCCTGTAGGGGCCTGTGGAGGGGGAACTTGGAGGGAGAGCTGATTGCAATATAGCTGATGCGTCTAAGGTTTACTCTGGTCCTCGTCCTCCGTGTCCTCCTCCTCTCCTCCTTTTCGCCACGAGCAGAGACAACGTAGGAAGTATGTTTAACCAGACGTCTTGGGTCGCCGAACACCTCGTTGCCACTGCTGCTTGCCGTGCGACCTCAATGTGCACACAGACACCCTGGCGACAATAAATCGGCAAACCCACCCGGACGGGATTTTCGAGACGATACAACATGCCTGGCATGGTCTTGCAACCCTGGCCCTACCCTGGTCAAAGACAAGGCCCCCCGAGACCTCCAAGGGGAATCCGAGAGCCCCTGGGATATATAGAGATGTCGCCCTCGGCAGAGGCGAGGCTGACGAGGCCCCATGACAAACGGCCGAGCAGGCTGCCCTGACTCTTTACAGGCCCAGCGAAGCCAAAACCCGAGTTTCACAGATATGACTCCAAACTGCTGCGCAGATCCCTGAAGTATCTAGCTGCTACACCCTGCGAAATGCTTAAGAAATCATGGGTTAAGAAATTCATAGTCTCAGAAATGGAATAAAACCCAGAACTTATATCAAAAATCTTGGGATTTATATTGAAATGTTAAGAATAATCGAGACTCTGGACGAAAACTGAGGTTTTCTTAAGCATCGCCTAAGGTGTATCTAGCTGCTGTCTTACAGCGCGGGTCGGCCCTCGCACCCGAGAAAGGTGAGAGGGGAATGAGCACCAGCACCAGTCCCCCCCACAGGAGGGCGCTTCTGCCCCACATATGCGTTGAAACATGGGAACCGCCCTCCCGAGGACCGCCCTCCTGAGCCTCCGCCTCCGATCCTCTCCTCCCAGGATTGGGGGATGCCCTGGGGACCGTGGGGAAAAGCATGGAAGCGGTCCACACGTGGGAATTATGTCAGAGGCTACTGGATGCGCACTGCCTGCCAGGTGAGGGCCAAGACAGCCAGCCACCAGATAGCCAGAGCTAATGAAAGGTGTCCTGGGCACAGCAAAGCTATGGCCGCTCTCGCGGAGAATCCCAGAGGACACAATTTACCATGGTTCAAAAACCTGGACAGTTCAAGCACGCAGATGTGATGTAAGGGATGTGGTTCCCATACGGAGCGCGGAACTGGCCTGACAGGAGAGAGTAAGCTGAGCCCTCAAAACAGTGGAGCGGCGTCACGTGTAGCCCGTGCTCTCAACCTTCAGCACCCCAAGAGCGGAAGGAACACTCCAGTGACGGTCAGGCCGCCAGTCCCCCTGGCGCAACTCTATCGTTAGGTCGGGCATGCCCTCCTACAGGCGGATGTTGGACGACAACTAAACAACATTCAAACTATATTCGACAAATATCCAAAGGATACTATCAACAAATCGTCCTCATACTATGTTTGATTCCCCACATCCTGAGTGGAATTCTTATTTTCCCAGAACACCCTCTCCCTCCCACCCCTCCAGGGAGGCCCCGCCTGAGCGAGGAGGGTATCGGAATACCATACTAGTTACATGGTTTCGTGCTTCTCCCACCCCTCCAGGGAGGCCCCGCCTGAGCGAGGAGGGCATCCGAAAACCATACTATTTGTATGGTGTCGTGCCCCTCCCACCCCTCCAGGGAGGCCCCGCCTGAGCGAGGAGGGTATCGGAATACCATACTATTTACATGGTTTCGTGCCCCTCCCACCCCTCCAGGGAGGCCCCGCCTGAGCGAGGAGGGTATCGGAATACCATACTATTTACATGGTTTCGTGCCCCTCCCACCCCTCCAGGGAGGCCCCGCCTGAGCGAGGAGGGTATCGGAATACCATACTATTTACATGGTTTCGTGCCCCTCCCACCCCTCCAGGGAGGCCCCGCCTGAGCGAGGAGGGTATCGGAATACCATACTATTTACATGGTTTCGTGCCCCTCCCACCCCTCCAGGGAGGCCCCGCCTGAGCGAGGAGGGTATCGGAATACCATACTATTTACATGGTTTCGTGCCCCTCCCACCCCTCCAGGGAGGCCCCGCCTGAGCGAGGAGGGTATCGGAATACCATACTATTTACATGGTTTCGTGCCCCTCCCACCCCTCCAGGGAGGCCCCGCCTGAGCGAGGAGGGTATCGGAATACCATACTATTTACATGGTTTCGTGCCCCTCCCACCCCTCCAGGGAGGCCCCGCCTGAGCGAGGAGGGTATCGGAATACCATACTATTTACATGGTTTCGTGCCCCTCCCACCCCTCCAGGGAGGCCCCGCCTGAGCGAGGAGGGTATCGGAATACCATACTATTTACATGGTTTCGTGCCCCTCCCACCCCTCCAGGGAGGCCCCGCCTGAGCGAGGAGGGTATCGGAATACCATACTATTTACATGGTTTCGTGCCCCTCCCACCCCTCCAGGGAGGCCCCGCCTGAGCGA